CCCCAAAACCCCAAAACCCCAAAACCCCAAAACCCCGTTTGAAGTTGATATGAAATATGATACTCAATTGAAGATAAATAAATTTCTAAGTTAATTTAACGAATTGGTATTCCTATATGATTTTTCCTCAATTTCTCTAACCTCCATAATTGTTACGTCTGGAATTCATTTGCTTAGGTCTGGCATTAAATCTAAGAGTCTTCTTACCTCTCTAACCTCCATAGGATTAAGCATTTGCTTGTTCTCTATAGTTATTACCGGCAAAACCCTAATTTTTGTTGCTCTGCTATTATAACTAGCTTTTCTGTAGCTAAGTGAATCTTTGATCTAGAGAAACTCTACCTCTAGAAGCTAGATTGATTATAGCCTTAGATCCATCATCAATTAATTTTTCTGAATAAGCTCTTGAGGCTTCTCCAAGCTTTTCAAGTTCTGCCTTCACTTAGATAGACATTTGTTCATTTTTGGAAGGCAATTTAAATGGATTATTGTTCTTAAGAATACCCTGGACATGCTATTGCTGATTCTAGTAATACTACTGCTATTGACCATCATTTTGCTAATTCCCTCTATTCCTATTCTGCTATTAGTTATTTCTATATTGTGGCTATTACTATCTATTGTTGGTATTACCAGTTCCTTTGACCTGATATCTATAATCTCCATTCTGCATGCCTCTGTTTCTGTTTCTTTGTCCTCTATTTCCTAGTCTATCACCAATTGGATATCTTGGCAAAAGCTATTATCTATTCTACTACTATCTTGGTACAGGTTAGAGATAAGTTTTGTCCTTCTAAATGGGCTTAGATTTCTGATTAAGTCCAACTCTGTTGTTTAATGGTTAGCGCCCAACTGAGTTAGATCTTGGCGTTTGCTGATTGTACTACCTATCATAGTTGTTGTTGTTGTTCCTATCATTGAAGGAGTTGCTTCTTTATCTTGAGTTATTATTGTTAATTTGTTCTCTGAGGTTAGGCTATCTGTCTGATTGATACTATTAGGGTCCTCTAGTTTGCTAGTTATTAGTATTAACTCTCTGCTAGTTGTTGTTGATGAGATTGCTTCCTTTCAATTGATAATAAGTTCTATCTTAACTCTGACTTCTGCCCCTGTTCATGTTTCTCATCTTCTGTTAAATGCCAGTTCCGCCTATTTCTCTTCTTTATTGAGCTTATCCTCTTCCTCCTCTCTACTGGTTTCTTCTTGGAACATAGACGTCTGCATACTACTGCCTTGGTCTATTCTAGTTATTTTGGTAGTAGCCCTCATCCTGATCTTCATAGTATTGATCTTGAGAGTATCTTTAGTTTGCGGGATTACGGTTCATTTTACAAATTCAAAATTAATTAATTATAATTTATACTTAGTCAGAGCCAACAGATTAAAATTATAATTCACAATATATGAATAAGAGTTAAACTATAAAGTAAGTAAAGTAAAGCCGTTTAATTTGACTTCTTTATTATAAATTCAAAATGCAATATTAAATTTAGCTTAGTCAATTAGGTGCTTTATAGTAGTAAGCTCCAGTGAGAGCGCTATAAGTATAATCCTTGAGAGGGTTCTTTCTATGATATTGAATGTTATTCAGATCATTAGGCATTTAGACATTCGAATTGCCTCCGCCTAACTTGGTATACTCCCGGTTTTAAATGCTCTCTTCTATCTCCTCTTTGTGGTACTGTCCTAATGAGGTTGAAGGAGCAAGACATAAACTTCTCTTTACTGATCCTTAAAGTTCATTTACATCATATCTACCAGTCTCTGGTATAGTAGAAGCATTAATGTTAAACAAGGGATTTCCTTTTCTGAATGACTGCTTAAGCATATCAGACTGCTGCTTTTAGCTGCTCATCTAATCTAGATAGTTAGTATGAAGTGTACTTCCCTTGCCATCCTCGTTTAGTACAAATGATGACTGCACATCTTTGATCTTCCTCTGCACCTAGTGCGGGGATTCTTGCATATTTTTAGGACTATATTCGCCTTAAGTTTGCTTCAGCTGAAGTTTCTTCTAGGTGTGAGTAAGATTGGAGTAGAGATCATCCTGCTTTGGCTTCAAAATAAGATTGGCTGTGCTCTTCGTCACTTGACTTGTTCTCGAAGAAAGTAATCCTCCTGAATTCAAATAATCTGCTGCCTACTGCCTCGGGGTTTGAGTGTCCAAGATTGATTAAGATCTCTAGTAGTTGGCTTATTCAAGCTTGGGCTGGGGCCTTTGATTATTGTTGGAGTTATGATTTCTCTCAGTCATGAATTTATCTAAAGCATCCTCATACTGCTAGTAGTTTTATTGCTATTATTTCTAGTTGCTTTACTGAGTATTAAAGTCTTAGTAGTTAGTCTTAGGAACTGAGCTTTAATGCTGTTAGTATTGTGAATTTATATCAGATTTAAGTGGAGGTTCTTGCTGCTTGAAAGTGTGATAGAGTTACTGATGATCAATCTGTTATGCATTGACAGCTTGGTAGTTTCCATGAGCTTAAACTACTTGACTCAATCCTCTATGATGACCACTGGCCCCTAATTCCTAGTTTCTTTGCTTTAGCTAGGGTCTCCCAATCAGATCAGTCTAGTTGCTAACCTGTCTATCATTGCTGTTCCCTCTGTATTCCTCTTCATCAAGTCTTCTGTGACCAGTATACTAAAATCCAATTTTATTTTAAATTGATTGTTGATCGCGATCTTACCCCAACGTTCAACTTAGGGATTGCACCTGGGATATCATGCACCTTCATATAATCTCGCCCTTGAATCTTCTAGATGGAACTCACTTTAGATCCAGTCAAAGCACCTGGGATATCCTATGAAAAGACTAAAGAGCCAGAAATCTTACCGAAACGTCCAAGTTTCCCTTGTAGTTCAATAATAATTTATCACTCATTATTAAATTAAATTTATAATTATAATAATCAGCGACAGCAAATAAATGATTAAGGCAATTTTGATCTTGAACTCCTCGGGCAAAGTGAGACTTGTGCGTGTCTACGACGAGACAGTAATTCCTTCCTTATAATAGTGATAGATAGAGTATAACAACTCAGGAGGCACTCATTACTGAAATACATTAGAAGATCGGCCAGCGCAAGGAAAACTACTGCAACTTCATTGATGACTGTGTCTGTGTTATCCCTCCTAATAAAGTCGTATACAGGTAAAGATATAAAGTCAAGTCAGTTTGATTTACTGTTATGTACAGAGTCTATGCAACGCTGACATTCGTATTTGTGATTGATGATGCTGAGAGTGAATTAGCAGTGCTGGATTTGATTCAAGTGCTAGTTGAGGTGCTTGACAAGTGCTTCGAAAATGTGTGTGAATTAGACTTAATTTTCAACCCTGATAAGGTAATTTACATTCTAATTCATTTTAAAGTTGAACTACATTATCGATGAAATTGTGGTAGATGGAATGGTAACTGAAACAAACATAAATGAAATAGTATCAGTGTTGAAATCCATGAATGATTATGCTTTAGAGAAGTGAATGCATAATATAAGAGTAGGTTAGTGAAATAGTAAAGACACTGAGTGAATGATTAATGATTGGGAATATAAAAATTAAGCATTAATAATGATAACATGTTGATTAGTTTCCTTCCATGTATTTATTCTATTAAATTAACTCTCTCATGCGAATAAAATTATTTATACTCAATCGTTGAGTCACTGCAATATCTAGCCTCCTATTAAATCTAAAGAGTCCTTTTTGGAACTCATCAAAGGCTTCTATTCATCTTATCCCTCATTCAAAGTATTATCTCCGCTGGGATCTCCACCTACTTATAAGTTTGCTTAATTTTCTTAATTTTATGGCAGTTTGTCATATTGTCCTATAATGCCCGTAGAATTGTTATTCTATCGCTTTGAAGCATCCAATAGATTGCCTCCTTATACCTAGGGATAAACTTCACCATAGTATTCATCCTCATCATCATATGGCTGCCCATCAGGTCCAATTTTGATTTTGGGGTTATTCAATTTCTGTGGACCACTACTGATAAATTACTATCCTGCTTTTGTCATTATTCCTCCATTATTAGTCAGAGGCTGATAATAGACTTATGAAGCGTTATAATGAGAATTCTTAGATTGATACTGACTTGGAATCATAAGGAGTTCATCAGTCTTTCTCTTCTGAACTCTATAGTCAACTATATATTTCTTCTATGATTCAAAATAGTCTCTTCTCAGTCTCTCCCTTTACTCCCATCTCATCCTTTCCATTTTCTCATATTCGCTCTTCTCCTGTTCTTGCTGCATTTTCACTTCCTGATATTCTTACAGCTTCTACTTCTGCTTTTCAATGTACTACCTTCTCTTAATATCTTAATCCTTTTGATATTTCTTCTCAAGTTCTAGTTGCATTCTCTCTTACTCGATTCTTTCAATCTACCTTTAAATTTTGTCTTCTTTATACTTAGCAATGACTGCTTACAGTCTCTCTCTTTCATAAAGCGATTATTAGGAGTTTTCCATAAAGGACTATTGATTATTCTTGGCTGAATACAAAGGCTAGGTAAAAGAAGCTTCATTAATTAGATATTGATTATTCTTAGTTCTAATTCTTACAGTCGTTCTGTCTCTGTTATTTTAATGCATTTCTAATTAATTCTTTGGGATTAGTGGCCCTTCCATTCCGATCCTACTCTCATTGACAAATGATTGATCTGTGGGACTGCCACCATTGCCCTATCTCTTCCTTAGGAATTATCTCTTTTACTGATTTTAGTTCATGACATTAGCTCCATATTGTGAAAGGTTGCTTTACTTGATATAGCTATCATATTTCTGCTCACTTGAATGCCTAAATGCTGCTGCGCCTTAAGCACCTGTAACAGTGTTATTGAAATGATTACGATTTATTTTTCTATTAGTGGTGGGATCTACTAAGCTCTGTCGCACCATACTCTGAAGGTCTTACTGATTGTGCGATCCTTAAGCATCTTTCATCTGGTCTGGCTGAGTGCCATCCAGACTTGTCATGAATGCTCCAGTGGCATCAGGTGATTCTTGTTATTAGTTATTGAAGCTTGACATATGTGGATCATTTTCATTCATCTGCAAGGTTTATTTAGAATGAGTAGATATTTAGCTTTAATTTACTTGATTCATAATCACCTCCTGGCTGTTTTGCAAAAGCATTTAGTTTGCTCTTTGCTGGTCTCTAAGAGTTTTGAGAATGACCTCTCGTTTTTTAGGCGAGAGATGCTGCCTGAATTACTACTGCTGAATTAAATGAGTCCCTTCTTATATTATTTGCTCTGATGATTGGTAATGCTTGCAAGGGGGTTAGAGAGTGCATTTAGGGCATCTCTGGTTGAAAATCATGTCACCTTGTAGATTGACAGCAGCCTTCTTAAGTTAATTGAAGCGCTTTTATTCAAGTCGCTCCCATATTTCCTCTTTGCTTAGATTGGCTGCTTGATTAATAAGATCTCTTTCTTCTCTATCGAGAATACTATATTTGCTAGCCACATGATTTGGCATCTTATTTCTCTATGAATTCTCTTGTCCTTTTGGAGATAGCTTATTCTAGCGGTTAGTGTGTGGAGATCTTTACGAAGAACTCTTATGATTTTAGTCTAAATTGGTTTGAGGTGTGGACTAAGAGAGCTAGGGGATTTAATTAGATTGTAGTGATTGCAGTTGCATTTTTATAAATATAAAATTAATTAATTTGATCTTCATCCTCTAATAATTCTTTTTTAAACATGCATGGGGTTTTGGGGTTTTGGGGTTTTGGGGAATTCAACTG